CTATATATATATATATATATATATATATATATATATATATATATATATATATATATATATATATATATATATATATATATATAAACTAACGCCTCTGTCTGTCGCGTCGTGTCTCCCGAGGCCGAGGTCGTCTGGCCGTTTCCTCCGTCTGGCAGCGACGTCGGCGGAGAGGGAGTTGTCGTCCCTTCGTCCAGGTCGCCGTCACCGCCTTCGCCGTCGTCCACCTGCTTCTCCACCTCGCGTTTCGACCTCCCTTGCGTCGTGGGTGGGGGCGGGGTCTCGGTAGTCGTGGGCGGGGTCTCGGTAGGGGCGGGCGTGGCGGGACTGCGCGTGGGCGTGGGCGTGGGCGTGTCTTGTTGCTGTTCCGAAGTGGCGTCGCTGGTTCTGCCGCGGTCGGAGGTAAGCTGCGGCGGGTGGGTGAAGGGGGGGGGGATAAAAAGAGTAAATGAATGATAAAAAAGAGTAAATGAATGATAAAAAAAGAGTAAATGAATGATAAAAAGGAGTAAATGAATGATAAAAAAAGAGTAAATGAATGATTAAAAAAGGAGTATGAAAGTATGGATGATAAAAAGAGTAAATGAATGATAAAAAGAGTAAATGAATGATAAAAAGAGTAAATGAATGATAAAAGAGTAATGAATGATTAAAAAAAAGAGTAAATGAAAGATAAAAGTGTAAGTGAATGATAAAAAAAGTAAATGAATGATAGAAAAAGAGTAATGAATGATAAAAAGAGTAAATGAATGATAAAAAAAAGAGTAAATGATGAAAAGAGTAAATTAATAAAAAACATTAAATGGTGATGAGTAAATGAATGATAAATGAAGAGTAAATGATAAATGAGTAAATGAAGAGTAAATGAATGATAAAGTGAGTAAAAGATAAATGAGTAAATGAATAATAAAAGAGAGTAAATGATGAAAAGGGCTAATGAATGATAAAAAAAGAGTAAATAAGTGATAAAAAAGAGTAAAAAGAAGAAGAAAAACATCTTGAGGAACTGTTTATTATTATTTTTATTATTTTTGCATTATTTCATAAAACTGGGCGCGAATTTTTTCTCTCTCCCTCCAGCCTTTTTAGGGATCCAAAAAACAGCTTTATTGAAAGGATCGCATACACATACATAAAAAAACGAAAAGAAAAGAAAAGAAAGAAAGAAAAACAAAACACAAGTGAAGGGACACGTAAGATACAAGCAAAATCATACATTTAAACGCAAATAAGAAACGTAGAAACATTCGATCTGGTCATATTTACAAGCAACAGTTCCCTCATCAACGCACACACATACGTACACATGAATACTCTCTCTCTCTCTCTCTCACACACACACATACGTACACATGAATACTCTCTCTCTCTCTCTCTCTCCCCCACACACACACACTCATACGTACACATGAATACTCTCTCTCTCTCTCTCTCTCTCCCCCCACACACACACACTCATAGTACACATCTCTCTCTCTCTCTCTCTCTCACACACACACACGTACCATGAATATCTCTCTCTCTCTCTCTCACATGAATACTCTCTCTCTCTCTCTCACACACACACATACGTACACATGAATACTCTCTCTCTCTCTCTCTCACACCAACACACACACATACGTACACATGAATACTCTCTCTCTCTCTCTCTCTCTCTCCCACACACACTCACACACACACACATACTCATACGTTCACACGAATAGTCTGTCTGTCTGTCTTCTGTCTGTATGTCTGTCTCTCTCTCTCTCTCACACACTCATACGTTCACACGAATAGTCTATGTCTATCTGTCTATCTGTCTGTCTGTCTGTCTCTCTCTCACACATACACACACTCAACCACACACACAAAACTCCCTCCCCCATCTACCCCCTCCCCTTCCCCTCCCCACCCACCCACCCGACCTCCCTCCCGCCCTCAGATACTCACATTGAACTTCCTAGGATTCAGGGGAACGGGCGAACAGGTGAGAGAAGGTGACATGATAGGATTGTCCACCAGGTACAGGAGGGGCAGGCCGTTGGGCGCTTCCAAGGGCACGCGGATCTCCATCTGAGGGCGCAGAAGGTGGATGGGTGAAAATCAGAAGATAAAAAAAGAGGGTTTATGGAATGTGGATTCGTATTTTTTTTTTGTTTACGATGATGAAAATGATGGTGGTGATGAGAGGGATGGTAAGTATAATAGCAAATATTATAGGGATGGCGGTTGACAGTTAGTTTTTTTTTCTTATTTCATTAAAAAAAAACATTATTATTGCAATATACTCTCATTGACGCGTTTTTTTGTGACTTGAATTATATTATTTAACCAACTTAAAACTTTGCATCATCTCTCCTCTATGTTATTTTTTTTTATCATAGTAATCATTTACAAATTAACACCACCGCCACCACTACTCCAACACCACCACCAACAATAACAACAACAGCAGTAACAACCATAACAACAACAACAAAGTACCACCACTAGCACCTCCAACACCCACCACCACCACCACCACCCCACCACTCCAACACTCCAACCTCCAACACCCCACACCACCTCCAACACAACCTCCAACACCACAACCACACTCCAACACCCCCCACCACAACCTCCAACACCCCCCCCCTCCACAACCTCCAACACCCCCACCACCACCACCACAACCTCCAACACCGCCCCCCCCCCCATCACCACAACACAACCTCCAAGCCCCCCACCCTCACCACAACCCCCAACACCCCCCACACAACCACAACCCCACCAACACCACCCCATCCACCCCCACCACCCCCCCACAACCTCCATCCCCAACCCCATCACCCCCCCACCCCACCACCCCCACCCCCCAACCACTCACCTTCGCAGCGAGAAGAGGCGACGGACCCCGATTCGTGACGGTGAAGAGGTGCGTCGTCTGAGGACCTATTTGAGTGCGGTTAATGGCCAATTGGGACACGTTAACTACCTGTTGCAGGCTGAGGGTCTCGTTGATCCGGGCTTCCACGTTGTCCGGGGCTGAGACGCTGCGGGCGGGGAGGGGGAAAAAATATATATATAAAGAAAAAAAATTAAATCTACATCTTCACCCAATACAACACGCCAACAACTTTTCCAGTAGTAAAAAGGCACACGATATATATATATATATATATATATATATATATATATATATATATATACATATATATATAATATATATAATATATATATATATATATATATATATATATATATATATATATATATATATATATACACACAACACACACCACACACACACACACACACACACACACATACACACACACACACACACATCTATCTATCTATAATTCATATCCATATATACCCATTTCTTTTTTTTTGTACCTTTCTTCAATCTGAAACTACTCACCCCTCTGTGTACAGGTCGACACGAGACACAACAGGCACGGAAATATTGAAAGCATTGTCGTCTTCCTTTCTGTCGGGTATTTCGCTGGCGGCCACAAAACTCACGTTGAGGTGACGTTCTTCATAGGTCAGCAAGGTCAGCGGATTGTACTCGAAGTGGAAGATCATGTTGACCTGTGATCACGTTGGGAAGTTGGGTAAAAGAGGAGGATTCGTGAGATGCGAATGTTGGATGAATATACGTCAGGATGGAAAAAAAATGGTAGTGGACGTCTCGTGTTTTGTTGTGGATGTATGCGTGAGTTATCTATGTAAAGTATATACTAATTATGTAGTTAATTAGGGTATGAAGATGTTTATCCTATGTGATCTTCATTAATATAATATGCCAATATATTAGTAAAATAACATATATGTGATCTTCGTTGATATTTTAGGCTAATATTAGTAAAGCAACATGCAGAAATAACATAGAGACAAACAGAAACACACACACACATACACAAACACCCACATACACACAAACCCCACCCGGCCACACACCCATCCACTCACACACACCTACACATAAACACACCCACACACAGACATCCAACTATGCACCCACACCCACACACCCGACCACAAACGCACACACATAGCCAAACACAAACACCCTCCCACACACCCATCCACACACACACAAACACTCACCCAAACCCTCCCACACACAAACACCCACCCAAACCCTCCAAACACAACACCCATCCACACCCCATCCAAAACCCTCCCACACACAAAACACACACACACCCACCCACCCTCCCACACACAAACACCCACCCACACACCCATCCACCCTCCCACACACCACACAAACACCCACCCAATCCACACACAACCCATCCCACACCCATACACAAACCCCCACCCACACTCCACAAACCCCCCCCCCCCTCCCGCACATAACCCCCCCTGACAATACAACCTACCTCAGATTCTTTCCAGTTCGTTGTATGTGCAGATCTGCTTGGTTCGCCCGTTATCCGAAATGTAGAGAGATTCCCGGCACTTGGGGAGAAACCGGGTGCCGGATACGTGGGAGAAAGTGAGGACCGAGGGATACGTGGCTTCGAGGGTGACCGAGTAGGCTGTCGCTTGGAGAACCTGGAGTACCACCTCGATCTCCATGTTGCCGGCTTGTACCGTCAGTTCGTTGTACCTTTTTTTATTGGGAGGAGAGAGGGAGGAGAGGGGGGTGGGGTTAGTATGATGGGTGGGTGTGGGCCAAATGTGGATTATATGTTTTTTTTTTTATGTTTCTGTCTCTTTCTCATTCTTTGTCTCTATTTCTGTCTCGCTTTTTTTGTCTCTCTCTGTCTCTTTCTTTGTCTCCATCTCTTTCTCTTTTCTCTGTTTATTTCTCTTTCTTTGTCTCTGTCTCTTTCTTTGTCTCTGTCTCTGTCTCTTTCTCTATCTTTGTCTCTGTGTCTGTATCTCTTTCTTTCTATTTCTGTCTATTTGTTTGTCTGTCTGTCTCTGTCTGTTTCTTTCTTCTCTGTCTGCCTCCCTGTGTGTGCATGTGTATGTGTGTGTGTGTGTGTGTGTGTGTGTGTGTGTGTGTGTGTGTGTGTGTGTGTGTGTGTGTGTTGTGTGTGTGTGTGTGTGTGTGTGTGTGTGTGCGCGCGTGCGTGCGTGCGTGCGTGTGTGTGTGTGTGCATATGTGCGTGTGTCTATGTGCTCGTACATGCGTATCTGTGTAAGTGTCTCCGCGTACACAACCCCCTCCCAAGCACAGCGTACACCCTACCTAGGCTCGAGGACGAGGTCGGGCTTCGAGTAACAGGTGGTGATGTCCTCGCACTCCAGCCTCGCCGGGCCTCGAACACCGGGGGCTCAGGAGGTCGAGGACGATGGGGATGGCTCTGCGCTCCGGCGGGGGCTGCTGGGGCTCGCTGACGGGGGCGAGGCTGACGTTGGTGCTGAGCAGGAGGGGGACGTCCAGGCGAGGGCGGTCTTCCTGAGGGGGGAGGGGGAGGGGGGGGAGAGGGCATCGCGGTCAGGGTTTCAGGAATCTAGTTTTAATCTGGTTTTAATGTGATCAAAGCGCGTGTCACAGCTTCACGAATCTAGTTTTAATTAAGACGTGTCTCAGCCTCACGAATCTAGTTTTAATTAACACGTGTCTCAGTCTCACGAATCTAGTCCTAATCAACTCATGTCACAGCCTCACGAATCTAGTTTTAATTAAGACGTGTCTCAGTCTCACGAAAATAGTTCTAATCAACACGTGTCACAACTCACATCTAGTCCTAAATCTAATCTAAATCTAGTCCTAATCAATCTAAATCTAACCTAAATCTAGTCCTAATCAATCTAAATCTAAAATCTAGTCCTAATCAATCTAAATCTAACCTAAATCTAGGCCTAATCAATCTAAATCTAACTAAAATCTAGTCCTAATCAATCTAAATCTAACCTAAATCTAGTCCTAATCAATCTAAATCTAACCTAAATCTAGTCCTAATCAATCTAAATCTAACCTAAATCTAGGCCTAATCAATCTAAACTAACCTAAATCTAGTCCTAATCTCTAAATCTAACTAATCTAGTCCTAATCCTAAAATCTAACCTCTAGTCCTAATCAATCTAATCTAACCTAAATCTAGTCCTAATCAATCTAAATCTAATAAATCTAGTCCTAATCTCTAAATCTAACCTAAATCTAGGCCTAATCCTAAATCTAATCTAGTCCTAATCAATCTAAATCTAACCTAAATCTAGTCCTAATCAATCTAATCTAACCTAAATCTAGTCCTAATCAATCTAAATCTAACCTAAATCTAGTCCTAATCAATCTAAATCTAACCTAATCTAGTCCTAATCAATCTAAAATCTAACTAAATCTAGTCCTAAAACTCACATCTAGTCCTAAATCTAACCTAAATCCTAGGCCTAGTCCTAATCAACTCACATCTAGTCCTAAATCTAACCTAAATCAAGTCCTAATCATCTAAATCTAAATCTAACCTAAATCTAGTCCTAATCAATCTAATCTAACCTAAATCTAGTCCTAATCACTCACACATCACGAATCTGGTTTTTTAACTCTTATCGTAGAATCACACACCTCCTTGACATAGGATCAGATTCCATTAGATTCTGATTTCAACCCAATCCACTTCAGCCGAACCTACCTTCACATAGGCGACTTTGGAGAACGGAAGCACGTGGTCAGCGACGGGGCTTACATCACGGGTCACGGTCAGCCTGGAGGAGGGAAACGTATATATACATATATATCGCAATTTTTTTTTACGGTCAGCCTGGAGGAGGGAAACGTATATATACATATATATATATATATCGCAATTTTTTTTTTCTCTTTCAATTGAGTGATCGAGAGAGAGGGAAAAAATTGTGATTATAATTGATTTTTTTTTAGTATGTTTGGTTTTATTTTAAGATTTTTTAGTATAGGTTTTATTTTAAGATTTTTTTTTAGTATATTAGGTTTTATTTTAAGATTTTTATATTAGGTTTAATTTTGATTTTTTAGTATGTTAGGTTTTTATTTTAAGATTTTTTAGTATATTAGGTGTTATTTTAAGATGATTTTTTTTAGTATATTAGGTTTTATTTTAAGATTTTTTTTTGTATATTAGGTTTTATTTTAAGAAGATTTTTTAGTACATTAGGTCTTATTTTAAGAAGACTTTTTAAAAATATATTAGGTATTATTTTAAGAAGAAGGAAAAAATGAAAAGATAAGAAGGAAAAAAATGAAAAGAAAAAAATTTACCGATAGTCGTCACTCTCCAAAAAGGCGAATCTCCTGTACTTGGCATCCAGGTCGAACGAGAACACCATTGCTGAAAGATAACAGCGATAATGGTGATGATGATAATGATAGGGATAGGGATAATAACAATTAAGATTATAATCATCAGTATCATGATTATGATAATGATGATGATGATGACAATGATAGTAATGATGATGATTGATATATGAGTAATAATGGTGATGATGATAGTGATGATAATATAATGATAATGATAACGATAATGATAATGATGGTTATGGTGATGATGATAATAATAGGGACAGGGATAATAACAATTAAGATTATAATCA